GGGGGGAGGGAGATCCTTCCTAAGTGCCACTGTTAGAACTGGCAGCATTTGCAGATGAAGAGTTGGAATTTTCTGGAGTTAGTGTAGCATTTTGGTTAAAAAGTAAACTTGCTTAGAGCAAGGCTGGATGTGGATTAGCCAAGAAGACCAACAAAAGGGAATAGAATCAGAGCCATCACCAGAGCTGGGACCAGAGCAGAGGTAGTTTCCAAAACCACTTGTGGGTAACTGGACCACCAATGATTGGTTTATTAGTTAGTGGTCTGTTTTTGCACACATTCATGCTTTAGAAAAGAAGATACCATTTATTCTCCCTGTGGGCCATTCTCAAATCATTCTTTTAGTTATCCTTGTAAAGATTTAAATTTAAAAAAGATCCATGCTATTATCCTTCAAGAGAAGTAGTTAGATTGACATTTGCAATAGAATCTCTCTGCTTATCCAGGTTGGGCAGTCTAAATAATCACCAGTAGAGAACAGTAGGTACCCTAACTAGTTTTTCTTATATGTATATTTTATTTACTAGGTTTGAAGCACATGGTGCTGTAGAAATGTGGGAACAGGGTAGGGTCTCACTCAGGGCTTTGCACCCACTCCTCTTGTGTGACTCTGCTAGCTCACTCACAGTATGTCCCCTAGTTGACCAAGAGTTGGCAGTTGCTGTGACATAGTCCTGTAGTAGAAGGTATTCTGGTTTTCATAGGGGACAGATTATTTCTCCAGTCTTTACAACCCTAGTACTACCTCACAGAAATATTTTTGGCAGAGTAGTCACAAAACTGAATGTCAGAATGTCTGAAATCATACTGATTTCTTCAGAAGAGGCACAGTCCTTGCTGGTACCATCCTTGTCACATACTTTTTGAAACTTCATGAACTGGAACTTGTTCAGTGTGGTACAATATTTATCTCAGAAGCTGTGTTGACGTTAGGAGTCACAGATGGGTGTAGGGCTTCGTCATTTTTCCTTTGGGGGCCATACCTTTGAATTTATGCTTTGAACACATCAGCTTTCCTTCTCCCTCAAAGTCATCAACCCCCTTAGTCAAGAGCACTTCTGTATCCTTTATTGATACACATGGGGAAAGTGCAAGGGGGTGGTCATGACCACTGACTCCATTTCCTCTTTCAAGGATTAGCAAAAGGCTGCAGACAAAAATAGAGAAACCAAATCAAAAGAAGATAGACTGGACTTGTGATTTGTTGTAATATAGTTTGAACAAAAAATAGCACATGTTTAGAGAGGTAGAGCTGCCATGATAGCATACATAGTGGGTTGATTATATTGCATGCACATGTAAAATGTAACTTTCTCGTAGTTTCCATGCCAAGGCCATGTGTGGCTCACATGAAATGTACTAGGCAACTTTGGTATGACTGCTTTCCCTTCCACTCTGTTCTCCTGGAGTTCATAAAATTGCTCAGAAATGTTGGCTCCTTGAGCAGGAACTGGAAGTTAATAAACTGCCTTTATAACAAATGATAAGGACTTTGGTTAATTCACATGCCCACTTATCAAATTAAAGTGGCCAATGATCAGAAAGACTGTTACATCTCAGCTGATCAGTGTTTCTCATCTTTTCATAGGCTATATTTAAATATTTCTGTGACAATTGATCCCATGCATGAAATTTCTCTTACAAACACCCTAATGTGTTTGGTTTGTCTTAGTCGATCCTCTGGAAAGAGCACTGGCCACTCCCTTGATAAAGGACAAGGATCAATGATGCAGCTGGTGGCCCTTGCTCCAGACACGTTTTCCCTGGGAAATTCTGCACATGGCATCTCCTCATTAATTCCTCCTTTCATTCAGCAAACATTTGTCTGCAAAGACTCTGCTTCCCAGAGAGAAAAATCCAGCTCTGGACTTTGCACAAATACAAGATTCCGTTTGGGTTTGGACCAATACAGGTATATGCACATAGATGGATGTAACTGTTAGGCAATTGGTATTACTTTTCTTCTCGTGCATCAATGAAGAAAAAGGATATCATTCAGAATCAGCCCTGAGTTAGAAGGCAAGTGTGACTCTCTGTATAGGA